CCCACATACTCAAGAGAACAGAAGGCACAACTGTCACCTAGTGGGACCCTCATCGGCCAGATGACCCTCATCGGCCGGAACGAAGTCAACCCAGAATATGATCCGGAAGCCAGAAGAACCGGGTGACCTCGTCGGACGGGTCTTCGTCGGCCATGCACTCATCGGCCAGACCCTCTTCGGCCATAAAGAACTCCTAGAACAGGATTTTGCACTTAATCATTTGTATACTCTACCATTTACTTTGTATTCGGCCCAATAGCGGTCCAGTTGTAAATGGGTCTCCCAAGCCCAAGACTTGGGAGCCCAGCCCTAATTGTTCCTATAAATACTCCCTCTGGGAGTAGTTGTAAGGGTTCACAAATTCATTAATACAGAGTAATTATACTACTTCTCTCTCTAGCTCTCACTTCTCTCTAGACTTATAGTCTATCAGTTACCATTCGGTTACCAAAAAGATATCGAGTCCCATCACTTAAAATATTTAGAATAACCTACCATTAAAGTCTATATACATGATTCAAATGTTTTTAATAGTATCTGGTTCTTAAAGTTAGATTAGAAGAGATCAGTGGAAGGATTGGATTAAACCACTCCTTGGTAAACCATGAGTGTTATGACCTCTTGTACACAATATAAGGATTGTCAAGTGTGTCTCAATACAATAAGATCTAGAGTATGAGTCTTTCAACAGAAACTAGGATATGGTACTAACAAGTCCTTTTTAGCATTTACGTATGAGTATATGTAGCTCGTGTTGGGAAGTAGTATGCTCTTTGAATAGTAGAAGTCTTAGTAGGAATAAAGAGTATAATGAGTTTGGCATGACAAACTATTCTTCTGTTATTAGTCATCATCAATTCAAGGGCTTGAACCCCAACAGTTGAGTAAATTATATGATGTGATTCTGCTATTGAGTAAAATAGTGTCAGTCAAAGTTAAGAATATACGAAACTGGTAAGAAGGACCTAGCGATGATGTTAGATTTTTGAATGATATCAGTGTAGATTTCTTGATCAGTTGATTATTATTGCAATTGAAATCTAACAACATAATGATAAAGAGGCTGTGTAAAAAAAGGGACTCTTAATAGAATTTTATTGCGGAAACTTTTCGTTGTTGAGTCTAAGTTAGTCTTAGATACGTCCCCGTACAGTTTATTACCAGATGATTTAACGGGTAATCATTTGTCAGTTTTTGTGAAGTTACATGTTACTTGCTGTTTGACTTCCTTATTGTTTGGAAGGCTACGTAAACTTTACCGCTATGAATGAGCAATACTTCCTAAGTTATATAGTTACAAGATTAAAGTTAGAAGGAACAATAACGTGAAATATCAGTTAAGAAATAACTATTGATAATGAATGGTCTAAAGGAAGTTTATGATTAAACTATTTTTTTTTTGTCTCGTTTAGATTACATGTTTGGATACATCACATTTTGATTAGTAAAGGGATGAAGGGTTTAATTGAGAGAGGAAAAAAATATAGTACTTTCCTTAATCTTTCTATAGCTGAGTGAGGAAGCTAAGAGATTAGAATTTATGTTGTCAAGTATTTTTTTGTGTCAGATATTTATGTGTTTGACAACGTCAATTTTTGTTAAACAGAACAATTATTACGTCGTTCATTTAAGAAATATGAAAATTTGAAACTAAGCAACATAATCCTTATAGTGTTAAAATTTAATTGTTACCCCACATACTGATTTTCTAGAGAGAGTCCAAGGAGATTTAGCTCAAAACATATAACATAACTTATCAACAAAAGACTTGCCCACAAGAAAGTTTCCTCTTAATATTAGGGCAATTAGCCTCGGTTAGTAAATTGTGTTCAAGGTTAAATAAGATAGGTGCTCACCTCATTAGAATTTGTTCTTTTCAAAACTGAAATTCTAAAGTGTAATGGAGAATCTATTTTAAAATTTCATTCACCTAACGACTTCGCCACTTCGGGGCACTAATCAATGAAGTTATAGTTTTTGGTTCCAGAGGTACAGAACTATAAGAAAGCTTTTCTTTTGATGAAAAGATGTTTTTGAGATGATTGAGTGGTTACGTTAAAAAGAATTCTTTTTTATATAATACTTAAGTCAAACTATAGTGATTTATTTAAATGAAGATTTTATCATAAGCTAGATTAAAGCTTTTCCTGATGCTGAGCAGTCTTGATAGCGGAGAGTATAAAAGTTGTCTCACAGATACAACAATAAACTTATAACACCGTCCAATTACTAACATCATTAAAATAGTGCAATTTTAGGAGTTTCTAGGGTTAGGTAGAGAGTCCCTATCATGGTCATTAAGAAAAGATGGTGAGATAGTAGTATAAGAAAAGAAAAAAAGTGGCAATATAGCATAATTAAAAGTTAAAACCATCAACTCGACAGAAGGGAGAAAATAGTGAAAGAGACAACTCCGTCCTTCCAGACTACATAATCCTATTGTGAGGATGAACTCTTAAAACTGACAGAGAATGGAACACATTTTTTTCCCATGTATTATAATGCCAGAATGTCAACAATCAAGGATGAAATTTAGAAAGAGTTCTATTCTCCAATTTAAAAGACAAGTTGACCTATGTAAGCACAGCTGTAGAATGTAATTCTGAATTTCATTTTAGTAGTATGTGGGATAAGTTTTTATGACGAGGTTAAAAATTAGTATTGTCTTTCTTTTTCATATTAATAAGCAAACATGTTAAACTAATTCATTTATAAAGATTGATGTGAGCTAGTGCCTTTGTGTTGTGGCGCCATGAGAAATCATGTAGAGTGGATTTAAACAGTGAGAGCTTTCTTGTCCTTGTTTTAGTCATTATATAAAGTAGTCGTGGGTTTCGTCAATCTTAGAAATTTGATCAATTTAGTAATAAGAAGAAAAGTCGGTACAAACTTCTCACGTTTAAGTTATATGCTCAAGAAATAACGGAAGTAACCTTGTGAAAGGTATAAAGCTATTACAGTTTTACTAAAGCCAAGTGAGGAGTCTAGATGGAAATTATGTGAGACTACACCTCGTTGTTTAAGTTTCGAGGACGAAACTTTTATAAGGTGAGAGGGGTTGTAACACCCCAATTTTTGTAAGCTAGTTACATGAGTTATATTATGTTTAGATAAGTTAAATAAGTTACTCAGTGAGTTAAATAATTTATGCTGGGAATAATATGATTTATTATTTTATCTTGTGTTATCAAGGTGCCACACTTAATTGAGTAATTTGAATTCAGCTTCTACACGTAAGTTCACTACCACCTGTACATGTTTGTTCAACCAAATGAAAGAAAGAAGCCTGGTTGATTTTTAGTAGATGATTTTAGACTATTTGCTATTATGTGAGCTTGGTGAATTATTTGGCGAGTCATTTTATTTGTTGTATTAAGTTATGTTTATTATCTGGCATAGTCAAGATTTTGTCAGTACTTTTATTTCAAGATTTTAATGATGTTTTTATCCAAACGTCACCGTAAAAAGAACTAATATTCAAGTGAAAGATTAAGTGATATGTATTCGGGAACAAGTTCCCACAGAGTTATCAGAGTTTCAGAGAGTCCGATATGTTTAGTGGGTCGCTCCCCTGAGCTGTCGGATTGGCGCCTTTGAGTACATATCACGGGCCCACAGAGTTAAAATTAACCACAAAGAGTTTTATATAAAGTTTATGAAATCTCTTACAGAAAGTTTATGACATCTCTTTGAAGAAGTTTTACAGAAATGTGTTCAGAAAGTTTTCTGAGATCTCTCAGAAGTTTTAAAAAAATTATTTTAGAAAGTATTTTCATTTGAGATCTCTTTCGAAAGCTACTTGAGAAGTTATTAGTGAATTATTTGTGAAGTGCATGCTTATAATCTAAATTTATCTATTCATAAATTGGCATAGACTTCTAGATATTTTTGTGGATCCATAGCGACTTACTAAGCATAATGCTTGTTGATAGAGTATATAGACTCGGACCCCCGGGTCTCACGACTATTGGACCCAGACAGCGGCCCACGTACACTCAGCTGATAGCATTTTCATTATTGTACATTATTATTATTCAGGTGTTCTAGATTAACCTTTTATATTATCAGTCCATTTATGTAACCGGATCTGTCAGGTCCATATTAGAGGCCCAAACCCGAATATTCTTCTATATATACTCCCTTAGGGAGTTCTTGTAAACCTAATTTCACAATTCATTATTCATTGTCATCTTCTTCCTCACATTAGCCCGAATCTCTTCATTTATTATATAGTTTGGATTCCTATAATCCATCACTTATCAGTTTCTTTCTTCGCATGTACAGATACTAAGGGTAAGGCCAAAGGTTAGGAAGATGATGAGGGAGTGGAACGCGTGCCAATATGAGTTAACGGGAACGACCTTGACGGCTTATAGCTAGTTATTATTTTATTTCGTATTTCAATTGTTACAATAAAGAAATTATTATTAATTAATATTTTTGGGGATTTGAAGTTTGAATAAATTCCTGGATCTAGGTGGTTATCACATTTGCTAGTGATAATTAGATTTTATTGAGTTTTTATTCGGAGTTATATTTTAGTTATACTTGAGATTTTATCAGGGTATTTTCTTAAGCGAACGACGGTTATTTTGCATTTTTTTAGCAGTAAGTTTATGTAACGTTTCCTTTAACCCTGAGAGGGGGATTACGCTCTCGCACATTTGACAACATCCTAGGACAATGGAGGATGATCCAGCAAACTTAGCATTCTTATCAACAAATAGAGACCTATGAAATATAACGCACACTTGCACATTTGACATCACCATCCCCAAGAGAACTCGCATTTTGGTTTCGATTCTAAGGATGTTTTCTTTTGAATTGTTTTTTCTCTCAGATCAGATCAGAACAGACTTTTGTAGTTATAATTATACAGAAATTAGACATTTAACAAACCAGACCAGTTCAGACGAAATCAATAAATTTCAGTCAAAAATAAAACATTCTAGTTCAATTTTAAATTGTGGCCACATCATCCGATCATCGTAAGGACCCGACCTAAAATTCAATTGGGCCTTTTAGGGTATTGTATTATGTACTCCGTATTAAAAATCGTGCACCGGCCGGGTTCTGGTGGTCTAAAAGTAAACTCACATTTATGTTTGTCATAGTATTCCAAAATCTAAACTCCTCCTAGGGTTTTCGAAATTCGACCCCATTCGCCATCCTCGGTAAGTTTAGATTTTCACAGCGTCTATGTATGGATTTCTAGTTTTTTTACGAGAAAGAACCTTCTCTTTACGGTTTATTTTAAAGGAAACTTAATCTAATTTTGTGTATTTTGTGTAGAAGGTGGGACTTTTGGAAGATCAGTTGTTGATTTGCAGGTAACACAAAATGGCCCGGGTGTACGTTGGGAATCTGGATCCCCGGGTGTTAGACAGGGAACTCGAGGATGAATTTCGAGTTTATGGCGTCCTTAGGAGGTTGGTTATCCCATAAATTGGTCTCTAGCCGCGGAAAAACTATAAAAAGATTTAATTTTTATACACATTATGGATGTAGGTTTGTTTGATTGTCAGTCACTTGTACACTTGCCTTCCTCACCCTTGTATTTGGCAATAGTCAGGCCATTGGTTGCAGTTATTAGGAATTAGGGATGATCAGTTGCCATAACTGAATTTTTTCCTTCTACCATCATGCTTTTGCCCATCTAGTTAGGAATACATTGTGTCCATCAATGGCCGAGTTTATTGATGTTCGCTTGTTAGTTTAGTGTTTCTGAGTTCAACTCCCTATGGAACTCCACATTAAGACTTAAAATATTCTCTCATTGAGATTTAATTGCCATCATGGTCTGTTTTCAGATACCAGACTTAATCCTGATCACTGTCTCAGTTTTTATGCAAAAAATAGAACGCTATTGATATTTTCTTTTTGTTTAAGGCTTGCTATGTTGATATTTTGTATTCTTGAATGAAGTTTAAGAGACAGATAAAGAGCTTATCTTAGCAAGTGTACCTAAATACAACCACCACCACCACCACTATAATCCCTTAGTATATTAGGAGGCACTTTCATTATTGATTTAATTGATGCAGTGTGTGGGTGGCTAGAAGGCCTCCGGGCTATGCATTTATTGAGTTTGATGAACGTAGGGATGCTCTGGATGCTATCCGTGAATTGGATGGTATGTAAAATATACAAATTCACATCTCTGATTGTTGAACTCATGTTTTATAATCACACGATTGCTCTTACTCTGTTCTAAGTATTGTGACATTATTTGTCTTGTTTGATTTAACATAACAGGGAAGAATGGCTGGCGTGTGGAGCTTTCTCATAATTCAGGTGGAGGCCGTGGTGGCCGTCGTGGTGGAGGTGATGATTCAAAGTGCTATGAGTGCGGTGAACCTGGCCACTTTGCTCGTGAGTGCCGCTCGCGTACTGGCCAAAGAGGGTTTGGAAATGGGGGGCGTCGAAGTCCTAGTCCCAGACGACGTAGGAGCCCAAGTTATGGACGGAAGTATGTTCTCTCATGCACATAAGTCATAACAATGCTTATTTAAATTAAACATCCAGTTTTGAAGTCCACAATATACTTATTAAATAATACAAGTATACATTACTTTGACTAAATATATTAGTGATCTCACTACTATTGGAATTATATACTACCTCCGTTCCTATTAAAACTTCCAAATAGGTTTGGCACAGAGTTTAAGATAGTGGGTATTGTGTGGTGGAGAGTTGTGCAGAGGAGAGAGAAATGTGTAAGAAATGTTGTGAACCACAAATTCTTTACTAAAAAGGGAAAGTGGAAGTTTTAATTGGAACGAACGAAAAAGGAAAGTTGGAAGTTTATTTAGGAACGGAGGGAGTATCAAAATCTAATAGTTAATCTTAATAATTTAGAATCATTTCACCAAAGAATAATCACTACGTTTTTTATGCGATTCAATTACGATTTTGTAGGATTCTATTATGATTTTGTACGATTTCATGAGTTTACAATTTTATCAATGATTCAAATTGATTTATTAGTGTAGCCGATTTTTATCAAAATTTTAACAACCTTGGTGTGATGTGTGTGTAATAATAGTTATAAATATGGTGGTCTACTTATACCGAAAAATATATTTTGGGGTTTGTACCGGACTACATTGGAACTCGAAACTTTAGAAGTGTTGAATCTATGTTTTAATCTTTGTCAAATATGACATTAGTGGAATACTAATTGGAGAGGAGAAACCAACTTTCTCGTTGTGTGTATAAAAAAGTGATGCAATTCAGTGATGATTTTAATTAGTTTTGATTATCTGATTTTTTCTAGAGTGTTCATGATAATGATGATTAAGGATGTCTTTATTTGCACTGAAATTTTCTGGTCTGATCTGGTCTGCCCTAGTCTGGTTTGATAAATGTTTATTCTCTGTGTATAAAAGTGTATTTTATAACTGTCAAAGTTTGGTTTGATCTGGTCTGATCAGGGGCTGAAATAAGTCCAAGTAAAAATATCCTAACACTCATATCCTAACACTCATAAATGCTACAACTATTTCAATATTATTATACGGAGTATATTTGGAAGTACTTTCGCAAATTACTTTGGAGCCTCATCTGTGCATAAGATTCCTTTGACATAGATAATAATCTCATTTTACAATTTGTTTTTACCACTTTATTATAAATATTATTAATAATTAACAAACAAACAACATCCAAGCCTTAGTCCCAAAAGATATTGGGGTCGGCTAACATGAATCGATACATGATATCACAACCAAAAGGAAAAGAAGGAATAAAGATAAAAGATAAGCTATTATGAAAAGATAATATAAAAAAGATGAATATATATAAAAATGATAAAATAAAAAGGCTGCAAATAATGCATATATATATAAGGATAAAAAAACTAGGAAAAAAAAGATGAGGGAAAAAGATTATCAAGATCACTCCTTCACGTGAATACCCGCCCTCCACTTAGTTCTCTCCAAAAAGATTATTAATAATTATTTAAGAAAATATTCCACATCATGAATCGCATGGGTAATATACTACTACCTCCGTCCCCCTAAGATTGGGATAAGAGAGAGTGGTGCGGTTTTTAAGAAAAGTGGAATTAGGTGGTTGATATTGAATTGATAAAGTATGAATAAAATGGGACAAACTTAGTGGGACGGACGGAAAAGGTAAAATGGGACAAGGATAGGGGGATGGAGGGAGTAGTATATATAAAATAAAACTTTGTCACTGAACCATACAATTTTCACTTAAAAAGGAGAATGAAGCTTATTTAGGGACGGCCCGAAGATAATGCTGGTAGAGAGAAGGGGTTGGTGGGGTCACCTATCTATTAATATTTGACCATTGGTTGCATCTACTCTGAATATATTTTTTTTGGTATCAGAGATGTTCAATGTTTTTATGATGTCTTGCTTTCAATTATCTGAGATCATAAGAATTAGTTTGATTCATTCATTCATTTTTGTGGTAACTCGTCAAAAATCATACAATCAACCTCAACCAGCATGGTGATGGGATTTCTATATTGGGGTTCTGTGTTAATTTTCAACAATACAGATGCAGCTTTGGGTCCCATAAAGTTCTTAACTCGTCTTGCTTTATTTTGTTAATATATGGTTCTTTTTTTGAAGACATAAATATGTCTCATCTAGCACACTTAATGGTACACCATGTTTTGTTATTTCTGGTTTATCTTTAAGGTGCATGCTTCTTCAGATTACATGTAGGGGTTAACTTGGATTACATGGGTATATGCATTATTGTCATCATCATTATCATCAATTTTCAGACTATTTGTTTTCATTAGCTGAATCTTTTATAAGTTCAGCAAATATATGTATTTAATTGCAGAAGCATTAGCCCTCTTGGAAAACGATCTCCACCACGTCGCTATCTTTCTCCTCGTCGTGGTCGGAGCTACAGCAGGTCACCTACTTACCGTCGTGCTCGTCGAGACTCACCATATGCCAATGGGTAAAGTGCATACATGATGTGTCTGGTATTTATTCTGATTTATTGGAGACCAACTGCTTTTATCCATTACTTGCAGTTCACCAGGATATCGGCGTGGTTGAGGCAAATCACCTTATGCAAAATGGGTAAGTCATGTTTAAAGCTTATTTTGGTTGGCGGGAATGTCAATTTTCCCCATTATTCCAAAAGTGAGATTCCAGACTTAGGTACAAGAGAGCTGTTATCCACAGAATTCTAATGGAATTGCATGGAATTGCAATTTCTTCAAGGAAACAAGACTGCTCTTCTTATTGTTCATTAAACTAATTGCTGATTATTTCTTTGCCATTCCATTATAAATCTGTTGCTAGAATTTATGTTCACATTAATTTCATTCCCTCCAGAAAGTATAATTTGAAATCATTCTTTATCTGTTTACTCTTTTTCCATAGATCATGGATGTTAGGTGCATTTGTAGGTTTGTGGGTTGTTTTTGCTACTTGTACTCTGGTTTTAACTTTGCTAATTATATTTGTGAAGCAGAAAATAGATCTTTGAATGGACAAGTATTTCATTTTTTAGGTGGCATGAATGGATTGAGGACTCTTGTACTCTCATTGTAGCCAACTAGCCACACTCATGATGTTCAATGTTTGCAGAGTTTGAAGACCAAATATGGTGGACGACCAGGAAATGCTGAAGGGTCTGTTATGCTGTAGTCTGATAGAGCTAGATGGAAGAGTATCATTCTGTACTTATTTCGCGTGGCGTTTCAGCTTATAGTGGACTTGACCTAGGATGCCCCTCCATTTTCCCGTCGGCATGCTCTATTTGGTTTGCTTTCATACTTAAAACTACCAAACCATATCTGTTTTTACACTGCGATTAAAATTGTTCTAAATTATTTACTATGAGTGGATGTAACATGCTATATTTTCTGTTTTTGAGGTATGATTACGTGTTATCACCTCAAACTGCCCGACATCGTTAATGTGAGACTCTGCATGTCTGCATCACACCTCGCATCAACTGTTTTATCAGTCTGCCACATCTGCTCCACCTTGCTCTACTGTTTATCGACATTGTTCGCAACCCCACGACCTTGTTAACTTCTCAATAATTCAAAACGACTTTGATAGAAAAAAGCTTACTTTACTACCCCATCATTCTGCACCTGCCCTGCCATATTCCAATACTACAACAAACATGACATCGGCTTATGTGATAATTTTTATTATTCCAAGCAGGAACTTATGCAGTCTCATTTAGTTAGTGTCATTTTGTTACAAGGTAGTTACATGTCTATGCAGCATTGTTTTGGTTGTAATAGGATTTTTATGGTTTAGAAAACCTTTTTTGCCACCCTGACTGACCAAATTGCTCGCCATAAGCAATGAAACTGCATGACAATGATGACATCATGACAAAGTGTTGCATACTTGCATTTGACAGTCTTGTTCATGCACTTGACATTGTTATGTGATGCGAAACTCAATGCACGCATCAGCTGAATGCATGCTAAAAGATTTATGTTTCGTCTGTGCTGTCTGCTGCTTAACGAAAACTTATTTTGTGGTTTTGGTGTTCAAGTCACAAGTGGTTCAAAAAGTATTCAACTGAATAATTAAATAAACATGTTTTTCAGTGCCGCCTCCTACCTAGGGGCAGACTAGGCCGGTGTATGAAAAATAAATAGTAGAGCCGCTACCGAGACTGGACTGGTTCGGTGCTGGTTCTGTTTTTACACATTCTTATGAATATAGTGTTCTTTCTATTGAAGATTTGAAGGCTTGTATTCACCATGCATTCCTCCTATTGAATATTGACAAACGAAGGAAGCAAATTCCTTCTTTTATCGATGCAAGTCAAAGAGCACAAAATTGAATAGACATACAATTGTTTTTATCCATGCAATGATTAGTACTTGAGTTTGTAGTAAAAACCATCAGTTTTAAGTATCTCACCTATAAGTGCAATCACTCGAGTTTTACTTATATAATAGTGTTAATCAATCCTCTATACTTAATAGCAATACAAATCAATCAAAACTGTTTACATATAAGTGCAATCACTTGAGCTTGTTTTGTGATCGTTTGTCTTATAGGTCATTTTTTTCATTAAACACATAACTTTAACGTACTTTTGATTTTGTACGTTAAATTGTGTAATAATCAAAACAAGTAAAGTTAGACTTATTTTTTTGTCTGAAGTTAATGTGGATAATGATTTTAACTATTTTTTTTGGAAAAATTGATTATAATAATCACAACTATTGATGGTTCGTTCATAATAATCCCAATTATCGATTATTTTAGAATAATCTCAACTTTAGGGACTTTCTGCCAATAATGGTCCGATGTGACTGATTATAAATAAATTCTTATAGTTTCTAAAGAGATACAGTCGGTAATTTCTATAAATAATTCCAAATTTTAATTTTTACGCTTAATTTCTATTGAAAAATCACTTGTTAGAGCAGGTAATATGCGGTCATGGATCATTATTAGGAGTGGACTCGGGCCGGTTCGGGCCCGGCCGGGCCTCGGTTCAAGAAGGGGAGGCCCGGAACCGGCCCGAGTAAACCCCGGGTCCGGGCCGGGTATCGGGTAATTTTTTTTTTTGGGGGGCTTTTCCAAGTTAACCCCCACCCCTCCCCCTCACCCTCACCCCCAAACCAACCCTAACCACCTCAAATGGCCCAAAATAACCAGCCCAACCCAAAAACTCAAAAAAAATTCAAAAAAAAATTAAAATTGGCTCGGCCCGGGCCCGAACCGGCCGGGCCGCTTCACCTTTTGAAGGGCCCGAGCCCGAACCGAGAATCCACCGGGCCGGGTGGCTCGAACCGCCCAACGAACCGGTTCCCGGGCCGGTCCGGGCCCGCACAGTGGCGGGCCGGTCCGGTCCGGTTTCGGGCCGGTTGGCCCGGCCCGAGTCCACCCCTAATCATTATTGGAGTTATACAAAAATAATCAATAGTTGGGATCATTGTTAGTGGACCGGTAATAGTTGGGATTATTATTTTCAATTTTTCCTTTTTTTCTCTTTATTTTATTAATAAAATTTATTTGAAATAATTTTTTATAATTCAGCAGAATCAGTCAATCAAGTCACTTCAACCAAAATTTCATAAATTTTAATTGAATCAACTGATTCAACAAATTTCATTATTACAAAACAGGCTCTTTATCTTAAATAAAATTGAGAACTTTTTAATTCAAGCCGAAAGACAAACATTGTGCATTCATTTAGGAAAATAATTAAATTACTATCAAATAATTAGCCAGTTAAAAATTTTCCTTCTTTGGAGAATATGTGTGTGATTCGGTCAAAATTGAAACTAAATCTTTTAAATTCTCAATGCAAAAAAGAGAGTTGGTCCTCTTTGAAATTAGAAAGTCTCTTCTGCACAAGATTCACTTCAAATTAGAGCTTGTCCCCGAAATTTAGAAGAACAAAAGGTGCCATAGCATGAGAACTAGGTCTCAATCCAGAGTAGGGATGGACTAAACCGGGCCGACCCGACCCGGAACCGACCTTGCCTGTTACTGTTTGGGCCCGGATCGGACCGGGACCAGTTGGCCGGTTCTGAGCTTTTAGCCCGTTTGGGCGGGCCGGGCGGGCCGGGCTCGAGGCCAACTTTTGGTGAACCGGCCCGGGCGGTTCGGGACGGGCCCGGTTTAATTTTGTTTTTTCAATTTTTTTGCTTTTCTAGGTTAGGGTTGGGTGTTTTGGAGGGGTTCGGGGGTGGGGGTGAGGGGGGTGGGGTGAGGGGGGGGATCAGGTGTTGATTAGAAACCCAAAAAAAAATTGAACTTGACCCGGGCCGGTTAGGCCCGGACCCGGTATCAACCCGAGCCGGTTCCGGGCCCAACCTTTTGCAAAAAAAGCTCGCCCGGCCCTGGCCCAGAACCGGACCGGCCCAGGTCCATCCCTAATCCAGAGACTTCCTCTTTATTTCCTTCGGTAATGCTTTTTCTTTTTTCTTTATCGCTTTGTAATGCCTTTCTTTTTATCAATAAATTCTCTTTTTAAAAAAGTAAAATAACTTTTCACCCCGTGCAACGCACAGTAGAAAAACTAGTATAATAGTAATATAACGACATCTCAATAGTAATAATATTTGGTAAATAGATGAGCGTATAAGTGCAAACACTTGTATTTTTCTATGCTATATTTTCCCATGCATTGCACAGATAGAATACTAGTCTTGTTCTATAACTGGTTATGATGTCAGTTTCGTTAATTTTTTGTTCCATGACATCCTTTGAAATCGACATGCACAAGATGAAAATGGAGGAATTTATAGGATTGAGAGTAGAGTGATGGAGTATATGGCCCAGGAACCCCCGACCCACAGACTCCTACTACTCCAAACAAGGCCCAACAGGCCCAGAAGGCCCAACAGGCCCAGAAGGCCCAACAGGCCCAAACCACAGCGCCCAGAGTACCAAGCAGCCCACAATGCGCAGCAGGGGCGCCTTCGGCCTCCTGGCCGAGGGCTCTAACTCCCACAGGAGGGCCAAAACAGGAAAACAAGATGACTGGGGAAAACGGCGAAAATCACTAGCCCTCGGCACCTGGAGCCCTCGGCACCAAGAGGGTACCCAGTACTCAGAGCCCTCGGTTAGTCCTCTACAGCCGAGGACACCTTTCCCGACATGATATCCGCACCACATGCGTACAGATCACCGTACCCTGAACAAACGTCCCATCCAACAGCCGCATTAAATGCGGCCACATGCGGCAGCCAGCGCCAACCAGTTGAGGTGACCTCTCGGCCAATGGGCGCTTGACACGTGTCCCTGTCCGGCATTTATTGCTACTATAAATAGCACCCCATTTCCCCATTTGTAACCATGCTGAAAACGCTCCACACTTTATAATATACCTTCTCTCTCTATATTTACTTGCTCTGACTTCTCTCTTATTACTCCCCGTAATAACCCCTCGGATAAGCTACCCCCCGGGTACACTATCCATCATTTGGTGCTCTCGTTGAGAGGTCGAACAATCAAGTAAGAAACCCTCCCCCTTCGCCAAACACTAGCCCTCTACCAAAATGGTGAGAACTACACGTGCCAACTCCAAAAACGTAGAAGACAAGAACCTGGCCCTCGGCGACGTCAACGCCCCCGAAGCCTCTCACAGGGCTCCCGAGGGCGGTGTCATCGCTGGGCTGGAACAGGCGGCTGTCGACCTACGCCTTCAGATCCAGCAGAATGCCCCCGATGCCCGCCTCGGCATCGAGGCCAAGAAGAAGAACCGGAGCGATGACCAAGTCAGCCCTCCGGTTCTCACCATCGACGTTCATTCGGCGCTCTCCGCCTTCATCCAGACGCTCAGTCAGAACCCGGGTGCCTTCGGCACCCTGGCTCCGTCTCAACCCCAGGTTGGGGAAAACATCATGCTTCCCCCTCTGCCCCCCCCCCCTTCGGAAACCCCATCCCTCGGATTGGGAATGATGAAGGGGTAGTGGCCCAAGATACGGCCTCCCAGGAAGTTCAGTCCCGGGACCGCCACAATAACAACAGAGAAAGGCCCCGCACTTCCGCCCTCAACCGACTCGGAGGAGGGCAAGATCGCCGAGGGGTCCAAGACCGCCTCGGAGGAAAGGCACTCCAGAGGCCCCAGGAGAGCGGAGGGTCTACCTCGAGGGCAGACGAGGAGCGTCCTCCTCGGGACAAAGGCAAGGCACCCCTTCATGCCGACAATGCTCGCCACCAAATCAACCAGGCCCACTCGGCCCGGGTTCGTTCGCAGGGGGCGGAGACCCTCCCGAAGGACCCCCGGGACGAAATTATTGCGGCCCTCCAACGCCGACTTGATGAAATGGAGGCCAACAAAGCTCACGCCACTGCCTCCACCCCTCATTCAGACCTCAAATACGAGGCCATGATGGCCAAAATGGAGGAATTGCAGAAGAAGGTAGCCGAGGGCTCCGGGGAACCCATTATCCAGCTCCGGACCCGGACGCCATTCACCCCAAGGGTATTGGCGGCCCGGATCCCGGAAAAATACCGAGGGCAACACATACAGCCCTACAACGGGAAGACGGACCCCCAGGAACACTACAGCAAATATCAGAACAACATGATGATGGTAGGGGCGTCGGACGAATATTTGTGTCGTTGGTTCCTCTCCACCTTAGAGGGGCCGGCATACGAATGGTTCAACCGGTTGCCCGAAGGCTGCATTGATTCGTGGCAAGAACTCGCCCAGCGATTCTTGACGCAATTTGCCGGGAGGCGTCGCACGAGGAAGCATTTCTCCCACCTCCTAACCATACGCCAAAGGAGGGATGAGACCCTTCGGGACTTCCTGGAGCGCTGGAGAACGGAAGCCGACAAAGTCGACGGTGCTGACGACGGGACCCTCCTGGCCCTCCTACAAACCGTCCTCCGCACCGGCAAATTTTCAAGGAGCCTCATCATTGAACCCCCCCGCGACTACATAAGGGCCCTGCAGCGGGGGGACCGATATGCT